ACACTAAGGGTTGCGATCCGTTGCCGGTCACGAAAAAAGACAAAAAGGAAAAAAAAAAGAAATGCCAACTCTAGGGGCCGGCCCGGTGGCGCACTGCTACAGTGCGCCGCTTGGGAAGTGCGGCGGCGCTCCCGCCAAGGGTTCGGATCCCACATACAGACCAGCCGCTCACTGGCTGAGCGAGGTGCAGCCGCAACACCGAGGGTTGCGATCCCGTTGCCGGTCCTGGTCCAGTACGGGCGCAACACTGAGGGTTGCGATCCGTTGCCGGTCACGAAAAAAGACAAAAAGGAAAAAAAAAAGAAATGCCAACTCTAGGCTACACAGCAGTGGCACTGAGGGAAGGAAGAGATATAGAAGGGACCATCTATCCAGAGGGGAGCAGTGTTGAATTATAATTTACATTGTTTAAAACTTCTAGCTCATACAGGTAATAAAAAGACCAACTTTTAAGTGTTTGGATTCTCTACAGTGTTCTTCTTTATTGCCTGTGGCCAGGGCAGATTCCTTCCACCTCCATTCTAACCCTACTCACTGCCTTGTACCGTGGTTATGACATTTCCCTTCTGTATGTCTCAGTTTCCTCATCTGTTTAATGGGGATCATAAAACCTACTATACTGACTTACTGCAAGGATTGGAGACAATACAGAATGCACAGTATACATTCGACTGATGGTAGTATGAGTGAACCTTTGAGGGTTTCCTTAAAACCTCGAGAAAAGGGGGAACCTTTATAGATCAACAGCCTCTTCATATCCATTGTGCTTTCCAAAACCTCTGTCAATGCTGTTTCCCCCACTCGGGCCACTTCTCCCCTATTTCTGAGACCAAATTCTGTTCATTCTTCAAGGTTGACCCAGTTGCTAACAACCCTAATGAGCTTTTCTCTTATTCCTGTGGCTGACATAATCTCTCTCCCTCCTCTAAAATTCCTGACCCTTTGGGGAATCTCTAGCACTACCGAGACCTACTGGAGTAGAATCTGCATTTTAACAAGATCCCCATGTGATTGGTGTGCATGTTAAGATTTAAAGAGCCCAATCCAAACTGGTTCCCAAATTTGACTGTGTGTTGGAATTATCTGAGGAGTTTTTAAAAAGCTTGATACCTAGACCCCACTCCAAGAGATTCTGATTCAACTTCTCTGGGGTGCAGCCTGGGCAACAGGATTTTTTTAAACTCCCAGATAAGATTAATATGCAGCCAAGTGTGAGAATCATTGCTCTATAAAGTTGTCCTCACACTCTGTTATGAAGCCTTAACACTCTCTTCTGCTCGCTCATGTAGTGGTTACTCATGTCCACGTATGTTTTTCCACCTCTGTTAAACTGTAAGTCCTTTAGGAGTGAGAACTTTTTCAATTCAATTTTTATCACACCCTTCCTAACAAAACTTAGCCACGTAATAGGAATTTAATATATATTTATTGAATGAATGATGAATGAAGTACCCATCTGTAATCTAAGAATGTTTTCTCAATACTATAAATGTGACTTTTGTCCTAATTTGAAGACTGGTTGGACATATTCTCAAAATCTCTTCAGTTCTCATAAAGACTGAATCCCCGAAGAACCAGAGGCTGGTGGCTAGAATGGGTTTTCCAACTGAGAATAGCTTCTCTGGGTACCAGCGCAGCTGGCCACTGCCATCTGCATGAGCTGCTTATGTGAAGGTACTTCAAAAAGTTCGTGGAAAGATTCGTACTATCTTTTAATTCTATTTTTCTGTGAACTCTTTGAAGTACCCTCGTAAAAAGTTGCAGCTTGGAATCTTAAGACTCCGGAGGGCAATGCAAAACAATACAGCCCATCCCCTTATAATCCAATTCAGAACTCCTGGCTGAAATATGATGATGATGTTTTTTCTTCCTCTCCAGGGTGCCGTTCTTATATCAATGGGGATTGTTGTTCTCACTATGAAGGCATCTGTTATTGAAATGTTCCTTGGTAAGTACTTTTATATGTGTATCTGGATACCCTTTTAACATTTTCCTAATGTCCAAAGAATCCAGCCAAGAAAAGTTTTAAACCAAGATGCAGTGTATAAAAAAACACAATTTATCTTTTTATGATAAATATTTTGGAGAGACGTTTAAGTGAGAATGTTAAGTGTAGATCAAATTCAGGATGGATGTGTATATATATTTTTATATAAAGCAAATATATGTATTACATACATGTGTCTCTACATACTACATAGTACACTTACACACACACACAAATCTTTCCGTGTATTCTTCACCAACTAGCAAGTATTTCAGATACAGCATATTTGCTGATTCCTAATTTAGGACTCTTCTTGTTTCTTAACTGCTTAAAAAAAAATTCTTATCACTGACATGGCTTCACTTATACCATTGACAAGTCATACTTTCAGAGACGAAACACTTGAACTTATCCACTATCACCAGAGAATGCAAATTTGGATAGGCCATTGAGGAGCAGCAGGTTGTCTAGAAAACAGAAACTGCTAATGGGTTTAGCCTAAGCCCAAGGGTAAACTCCTATTAAACTTGGCCCTACTGTGCCATGCCTTGTCAGGTAAAGTGAGTCTGTGTGTCATTGTGAAACTATTGCCAGGGAAGAGTAGAAAGGCCTTTCAGATAGTCTTCATTAGTTTGCTAGGGCTGCTATTTCAAAATATCACAGACTGAGTGGCTTAGAACAGTGGAAGTCTATTCTCTCACAGTTCTGGAGGCTATCAAGGTGTCAGCAGGCTGGGTTTCTTCAGAAGGCTGTGAGGGAGAAATCTGTTTCATGCCTCTCTGCCAGCTTCTGGTGGTTTGCTGTGGATCTTTGGTGCTCCATGGCCTGTAGATGCATCACTCCAATCTCTGCCTTGTCTTCCCAAGGCATTCTCCCTGTGTGCATGTCTGCCTCCAAAATTTCCCTTTTTAAAATGGCACCAGTCATATGGGATTTGGGGCCCACCCTCCTCCAGTGTGACCTCACCCTAATTTAACTGGTTACATCTGCAATGAGCCTATTTCCAAACAAGGTCACATTCTGAGGTACTGGGGGTTAGGACTTCAACACAGGAATTTGGGGACACAATTCAAGGTACGTTCAGCAGGAGTCTGCATGGCAGAATTGGGGACTAGAAGGGAAAGAGTTAACATGGCTGGGAAGGCAAAGGGGTTGGCGGCATGGTGCAGGAGCACCACACTGGGAGTCAGGAAGATATGAGCTCTAGTCCTATCTCCACATCAACCTGCTAACTTTGGCAAGTCACTCCTCTCAGAGCCTCCTGTTTCTTCTGTAAGTTACGTAGCTGAGCGATTAATCACCCTGCCCTGTGTAAAATCGCTGCCAGAGAGCTAGGCCAGCTCTTTTCCACCAGCTTGCTTCTCAGCTAGGCCACCCTCTCCCAAGCCAAGATAAGGACACAAACATGCTCTCTCAGTGGCACTGTCCCCTGGCTCATGCAGATGGGTCTTTCATTTCTACCTTGCCCTTTTGAGAGGCTACCTCCTTCTCATACTAGCCTACGGGTTAATAGAAATAGTGGGGATGGGGCAAGGGGTTAGGAATAGGAAAGATTTAGTAAAACAAACAAAACAGAAAACAAACCCTGAGGCCATTTCACACTCTGCCATGTTCCTCAGCCTCACAGAACCAAGAAGGGAGACTACTGTCCTTTGTCCCCTGCCTTTCTCAGCCTGCCCTTCTGCAAAACTCTTTCCCCTTCAAAGTACTTCATTCAGACAGCAAGAAACCAAAATAGAAAAAGGAGACTCCCATACCTCAACACAATAAAGGCCATATGACAAGCCCACAGCTAACATCATACTCAATGGTGAAAAGTTGAAAGCTTTTTCTTCTACGATCAGGAAAAAGACAATGATGTCCACTCTCACCCTTTCACCACTTCTATTCAACGTAGTATGGGAGGTCCTAGCCAGACCAATTAGGCAAGAGAAAGAAACAAAAAGCATCCAAACTGGAAAAGAGGAAGTAACATTATCTCTGCAGATGATATGATTTAATATCTAGAAAACCCTAAAGACTACACAAAAAAACTGTTAGAACTAACAAATGAATTCAGTAAAGTTATAGGATACAAAATGAACATTTAAAAATTAGTAGTATTTCAATATACTAATAAGGAATTATCTGAAAAGAAATTTTTTAAAATCCCATTTACAATAGATTAAAAAAGTAGTTAGCGTAGTGGATTGAATTGTGTTCCCCGAAACTCTCTGAAACTTGAATTGTGTCTCCCAAGTTTTATGTATTAGAAACTTAGCACCCACTGTGACTGTTAAGAGGGTGGGAAATCCCATCATGGTAATTGAAAGGTGGGGCCTTGAAGTGGTGGTGATTGGACTGTAGCACAATGCCATAATGAATGGATTAAAAATGGTGGTCAGGGGCATGGTTCTGAGGGCTTTAAAGAAAGAGGAGAGTCTGTCTTTGTCTTTCTCTCTCTTGCTCTCTCTGCTTCTACCATCTTGCAATGTGAGACCCCTGGGTCACTGTTGCCACCACCAGATGGACTTTGGACTTCCCAGCCTCAGAAACTGTAAGCAATAAATTTTGTTTTCTTTATAAATAACCCAGTTTCAGGTATTCTGTTATAGCAACACAAAACGGACTAATACAGAAAATTGGTACCGGGAGTGGGGTGTTCCTTATAACAAATACTTGAAAATGTGGAAATGGCTTTGGAACTGGGTGTTGAGGAGAGGCTGGAGGAATTTAGAGGAAAAGGTTAGGAAAAGTCTAGCTGCTGGTGGGAGTTTAGAAGACAAGAAAACCAGGGAAAGTATGGAATGTTTTAGAGATTTTTAAAATGGTGATGGCCAGAGTGCTTATGGAAATATGGACTGTAAAGACTATTCTAAGGAGGTCTCAGATAGAAATAAGAAGGAATTTTTCAGAAACTGAGGCAAAGATCACCCTTGCTGTAAACTGGCAAAGAACTTGGCTGCATTGTGTCCATGTCCTAGGACTTTGTGGAAGTTGGAACTTAAGAGTTGTGAACCAGAATGTTTGGCAGAAGAAATTTCTAAGTAGCAAAGCATTAAGGAACCTGCATAACTACTCGTAACAGCCTACACTGAGTTATGGTGGCAAAGGCAAAACATAAAGCCAGAATTTAAAAGGGGGGGAGCAGCGCCGAGGCTTGCGATCCCGTCGCCGGTCCCTGGTCCGGTACAGGGGCAACACTGAGGGTTGCGATCCGTTGCCGGACACGGTAAAAAAAAGACGAAAAAAAAAAAAAAGAGAAGGAGAAAAAGACCCTGAAGGCATTGCAGAAGCCTCTGAGGCCAATTCTTCCATTTCAGGCCCAAAGGCCTAGGGAGACAAAATGGTCTTGGGGAACAGGCTTGAGGATACCTCCATGGGCTCACTGCCCAAGACCACCTTGGGAAGCTGCTTCCAGTACCAGCACCTCTGCTTTGGCTGTTCCAGCTGTGGATTAATTGGCCCCAAGTGTGGCTGGTCATGCAGCTTTGGAAAATATAAGCCTGAAGTCTTGGCAGCATCCACATGGTGTTAGGTCTGCAGGCTTGCAGAATGCCAGAGCTGTAGAGGCTTGGGAGCCTCCAACCAGATTTCAAAGGATATATGGAAAAGTCTGGGGACCCAGGAAGAGATCTGTTGCAGGGGTGGAGTCACTGCAAACAGCCTTTCCTAGATCAATACCAAGTGGAAATATGGGGCCAGAGTTGCATCAGAGAAACCTAATCAGTGCCATGTCTAGTAGAGCGGGACCGCCATGGAGACCCCAGACTAGTGGAGCTACCAGCATGCAACACCAGGCTGCAAGACCTAAAGCATCAACTGAGACCAGGAAAGCCATAGGAGTGGAGCTCCCACACCAGCATGTAGGAGATTGAACATGGAACCAAGCTACCTGATTCACCAGCCTTGAGATTTAATGCCTGTCCTGCTGTGTTTTGAACATATTTGGGACCTGTTACACCTTTCTTTTGGCCTATTTCTCCCTTTTTGAATGGGAATATGTACCCTATGTTTGTCCCACCATTGTATTGTGGAAGTAGATAACTTGTATTGATTTCGCAGATGGGACTTTGTATTTTGGTCTCTTGAGTTGAAACAAGTTAAGACTTGGGGATGAAATGAATGTATTTGCTTGTGAAAAGGACATGAGTTTTAGGGAGCCAGAGATGGAATGTAGTGGATTGAATTGTGTCCCTCTGAAACTCTCTGAAGCTTGAATTGTGTCCCCTAAGTTTTATGTATTGGAAACTTAGCCCCCACTGTGACTGTTAAGAGGGTGGGAAATCCTATCATGCTAATCAAAAGGTGAGGCCTTGAAGTGGTGATTGGACTTCAATCACTTTATAGCACAATGCCATAATGAATGGATTAAAAATGGTGGTCAGGGGCATGGTTCTGAGGGCTTTAAAAGAAGAGAAGAGTCTGTCTTTCTCTCTCTTGACATTCATTCTTCCAAACATGGACATCCAGTTTTCCCAGCACCATTTAATGAAGAGGCTGTCCTTTCCCCAAAGTATGTTCTTGGTGCCTTTGTCTAAGATCAATTGGCTCTAAGTACAGGGGTTGATTTCTGGGTTCTCAGTTCTGTTCCATTGAGGTATGTGTCTGTTTTTATGCCAGTACCTAGCTGTTTTGGTCACTACAGCCTTGTAGTATAGTTTGAAATCAGGTAGTGTAATGTCTCCAGCTTTATTTTTTATGTTCAGAATTGCTTTGGCTATTCAGGTGCTTCTGTTGTCCCATATGAATGTTAATATTGTTTTTTCTATTTCTGTGATGAATGTCATTGGTATTTTGATGGGGATTGCACTGAATCTGTAGATTGCTTTGGGTAGTATAGACATTTTCACAGTGTTAATTCTTCCAGTCCACGAACAAGGAATGTCTTTCCAATTTTTGGTGTCCTCTATTTTTAATGGCTTTAAATAATCAATAAACAGATTGCTTTGGCAGCAACATGGTGGGGATCTTGTTACTGG